TGTGTTGTATGTGGTATTTTGGGAAACTCACTAAGCATTTATGCTTACAGTTGTTGTGTTATGTGTTTCAGGTACCAGTGAGGATCGCAAGAAGGCGCCGGCATGATCGGTACACACTCATTGAGATTATGTTGAGATTCTGGGAATTGTTTTGTGATGATGACATTGGATACATTATGTTTTAATATTGTTTTATGATTAAAAGTACGATTTAAAAATGAAAAATTGTTTTGGAAATATACGTTGTTACATTCTTTGGTGGTTTTGAGAGTTGTTTGGTGTATTTTGAAGCTAGGGAAAGAGTTGGAAGGTAGAAGATTCAAGGGAGAAAGAGTAGATCCAAGAACAACATCAGATTCTCTTCACTTTCTGGTAATCAAGCTTCAAACTTGACTTGTACTTTTTTAGATCTTCTTGTTGCCATTTTTATGAAGTTTTGGGTCCAAGAAGCTTGATCCTTGGGACTTGGACGTCCCAAGTCGATTTACACTCAGATCTGGAACCTTGGAGGGTCCTCATGGCATAAAGGTGCCATCTTTATGGCCATGAGAACCCCCAAGAATGAAATAAACCCCATTTTTGGTCCTTTGAGCATAAAAGTCCCATATATGAACGTAAAGTTCGTGGCTTTACGTGCTATACCGATCTTAGGAGCCTAGATCTACCTTCTAGAAGAGTTTTGCACATCAGAAATCGAATTATTAGACTTGGATATGCATGGACTCGACGAGTCGTTCTTGGGACTCGGCGAGTCGTGAGTTGGTTCCCAAAACTGTTATGACTCAGAGGAGCCCATTTTAGTTCAAAAGGGATTTGGATGAGTCCAGGGAAAGGACTCAGTGAAATAGACATAGCCTTGGATCTGGAAACCATGGGACTCGGCGAGTGCAGGAACGTACTCGGCGAGTCCAAGGCCATCTCCCAACTCATGAAGACGGACTCGACGAGCTGTTCATACAACTCGGTGAGTCACAGACCAGACACGTTAATAAGATGAAGATAAACTCGACGAGTTCAGAAAGAACTCGGCGAGTCAGATGAAGATTGTCTTGATGCTATGATTGAAAGAGAACTCGTCGAGTTCTTGCTAGACTCGACGAGTAGAGTCGGGTTGGGGGTAGATGAGAGGATTGGGACTCGGCGAGTTGTCGAGCCAACTCGGCGAGTCCGGTCAACTAGGAAGTTGATTTTGACCATGATGTGGACTTTGGTCAGGGGTAAAAGGGTCATTTTACCCTATAGATAGCTAATAGTTTCTGACTAAGTGTCATTGTGGAATTTATAGCCGGAGAATCGTCGGAGCAGCAACCAGATATTTTCCGCTCAGTATTTCAGCAGTCAGTTACGCGAGGTGAGTTTTCCTCCAGTAGGAACGGGTCTAAGGCACCAATGCCGGCCCATTTATATATTGGTAGTATACCGGGGTTAGCCCGATGCAGTCTATATGTTTCCGGACTTCGGTCCGATGCCGGGGTGGTCCCGAGAAGTAGTTATGAATGCTTGATGTCTTTGTGATTCATGCATGTGTATGTTATGTGTTATATGCTCCGGACTTCGGTCCGATGCCGGGTAAGCCTGATGCAGTATATGTGATTATGTTATATGTTTATGTTTATGTTTATGTTATGTTCAGTTTATTCCGGACTTCGGTCTGATGCAGTGGGCGAGGCCCAAGTTATTCCGGACTTCGGTCCGATGCAGTGGGCGAGGCCCAAGTTATTTTTTGACTTCGGTCCGATGCAGTGGGCGAGGCCCAAGTTATTCCGGACTTCGGTCTGATGCAGTGGGCGAGGCCCAAGTTATTCCGGACTTCGGTCCGATGCAGTGGGCAAGGCCCAGTAGTTGCTTTATATGTTATTGTATGGTATGTGGTAGTTTGGGGGAGCTCACTAAGCTTTGTGCTTACAGTTTTCAGTTTTGGTTTCAGGTACTTCCACTAGCAAAGGGAAGGGCTCGGGATGATCGCATGACACACACCACAGTCTTCAGCCTGGGAGTTTTACTCTGATATTTTGTTATGATATTTGACATGTGATAGATCTTATGAGATTTTTTAAAACATTGTTTATGATTTTTATACTATGGTGATGAAATGATGGTTTTGATAATGTTTTAAAAATGAAATTTTTGGTTTGTATTTTTGGGACGTTTCATATTATGGTTCGACCAACGCACAATCGAACTCGAATACGGTGGTTGACAATCTAAACGCTTGAGGACTTCTGGAGTGGTTGCATTGGTTTCTATACTCAGAAGCTTCTCTTAGAGACTTCTATGTCCGGAGATGGCTAACTCAACGACATCTACACTCGAGGATTTTTCCGCCCTAGGAACCTCTAACTTACGACATAGTGGGGGAGACTCAGGACTTATGGGTACTATTATTATATACTTATAATTTGATATTTTATAGTATTTAATTGATCTTTACATCTCTCACAAACATCTTATTACATGTCGCAACCATTTGGTCCACCTCTTCTGCTGTAGAGGGTTGCAGAGGTGGTCCGCAGACTTCATAAATTTTCGTTTCGGAAAAACAAACAACACATTAGAGTTTGACAAATGCCTTTTTGTTGGAATCCTAAGTTGAGTAGGACTTAGAGACCAAGTAAACTTGGGATTATGGCAAGTTGGTCATAGTTTCCTAATTGTATTCTAATTCAAGTTGGTAATTAGAACCTATAAATACATGTCTAGATCGAGTATAGGATCGTAGAAAACAGATTGCATCCAATATTGGTTTTGAGTTATTTTCCAATTAATCAAAGAGGTGTTTGATTAAAACTGTTTTGCAATTACGTTTTATAAACTAGAATTGGTATCAGAGCTACAACATCTTGCGACAGAAAGAAAGACAAGTTATCCTAAGTAGTGGTGATCGAAAATTGGTTTCTGTGATTCTCGTTTGGAATTGGTAATCGATAGAATAGTAATTGTTAAAGGTTTTTATCGATTTGATTTTTTTTTGTAATACACCTGATCAGTCATCGTGAACTGAGTCAGTCATTCACGTTTTTAATCAGAAATCGTTCTTTGTCTGTGATCGTAATTGTTGATCTGAATTGGTATCGTAATTGATTTGTCTGTGATCGCAAGTTCCAATCAAAGTTAATCAACAATCAATTTATTTTTTGGTGATTGGTTCTGTCAACAGAAGCATCTGGTCGATTACGTCTCTTTTCTTACCTTAATCGATAGAATCGTAAATCGTGAACAGTAAAGTGTGAGCAGTAAATCGTGAACAGTAGATTCATCGATTTTGGGTTCATCTTTTCTGATTTGAGTAATCACCATGTCGGTTGAGTCCTCGAATTCAACACCATCAAAGGAAATTAGAGCAACCTCCGTTCACTGTCCGATGTTGACAGCTACAAATTACACAGTTTGGGCTATGAGGATGAAGGTTGTTCTAAGAATTCACAAAGCATGGATTGTAACTGATTCGGGAACATAGAAGAATGAAGAGAAAGATTACCTGGCGATGGGGCTGTTGTATCAAGCGATCCCGGAGACTTTGATTATGCAAATCGGAGATGTGGAGTCCTCAAAGGTGTTGTGGGACGCAATCAAAGCCAGGCACGTGGGTGCTGACCGCGTGAAGGAGGCTAGGTTACAAACCTTGATGGCAGAATTCGACCGATTAAAGATGTCCGACTCGGAATCGATTGACAATTTTGCGGGGAGATTGTCCGGATTAGCCTCAAAATCGGCATCTTGCTTCTTTGGAACAAGTCTTGGATCTCAAATCGGTTGGATTTGAAGATGTTGTGGGAAGGCTTAAAGCTTATGAAGAAAGGATTAGAGAGGAGGGTGATGACGGAGGAAAAGAACCAAAGGTTTTGTGGTCATCGAGCAGTGGCGGCACTGGTTCAGTTGGTGGCGATGGCTTGTCTGGTGGAGCAAAGGAAAGATCGACAAAGGGAAAAAGGGTGTCGACTGGTAATCATGGATCCGATGGGTTATCTGGGTCAGGCGGATCAGGCGGGCCCAAAGGGAATAATAAGGTTTCTCAAAGTGGTCATCGGCCAAATCACCACAAGTCCAATTCCGATTTAACTTAACCCAATTCCAACAATTGCAAAAAATGTAATTGTTCTTGTGACAAAAATCAGAAAAATAAGGAAAAAGACCGATCTAAGGTGATTTGTTTTTGGTGTGACAAATCGGGTCACTTTGCCTCTGAATGTCCGGAACGACTCCAAAAATTACAAGAAGGTGATTTTTCGGAATGTGACGACAACGACGAGCCCGTATTTTAAATACAGATCAGGGTTGAAGAATTCTCTAGAAGGACTTAGAGATTCGGGGGTGATTGTTGGAATCTTAAGTCGAGTAGGACTTTGAGACCAAGTAAACTTGAGATTATGGCAAGTTGGTCATAGTTTCCTAATTGTATTCTAATATAAGTTGGTAATTAGAACTTATAAATGCATGTCTAGATCGAGTATAGGATCGTAGAATACAGATTGTATCCAATATTGGTTTTGAGTTATTTTCCAATTAATCAAAGAGGTGTTTGATTAAAACTGTTTTGCAGTTACGTTCTATAAACTAGACTTTTAAACTTATTACTTTTTAGAAAACCAATAAACTAATTAATAAGTCATTTTAAAAAGAGAAATTAAATATCCTTTTAGTTTTTTTCCTACAAATCCTCGTACCTAATTAAATAGTGACATGTGTAACATTTAACAAAATGAAATTTAATACTCCCCCCGTCCTAAAATTATTGTCCACAGACAAAAAACACATAGATTAAGAAAAACAATCATCAAGTTACTTTATTAAATGTTAGGGGTAATATGGTAAAAGTGTATATCTATTTTTGATAGTGGACAATAATTTTGGGACAAACTAAAATAGTAAGGTGGACAATAATTTTAGGACGGAGAGAGTAATATTTTAGTATATTAATATAACACATGTAAATAAATGAGTTTGAATATGGTATGAACAAAAATTAGAAGGAGATTTAATTTCTCTTTTAAAAAATACTCCCAAACATCCACTTAGTTAAACATACACTTAATTAAAGTCGTGTAAAAAAAGAACGAAATTAGTAACGACTAACGAGTATATGAAGCTTCTTGGTCGACGGATAAGTTATGAAAGACAGTGCCCTAACTCCGACAGAGGCTACGATTTGCTGAAAAGGTCATAAACAACAACAATAACGAACGAGCTCACAAGGACGATAACCGTAGGATAACAGGTATGAGGAGAGCATATACAAGCTATGTAGGTTTGCTCCTTATTTCGATATTAGCAGGCACCTGTTTGTGAAAATGCCTCGGAGAGATAACGTGATATTATTTTCTATCTATTTCTATACAGGTGAACTGAGTTTTTAATACCTACTTCGCTGCTAATTATCGTTCTTTTGAGTTGCAAGAAAGGGGCGTTTAGTAGATATGAGTTGGTCCTGTAGTAACTATCTTTGCTTGTCGAGCTCAACCTCTAGCTCTGTCGTCAATTCCAACGAACTTACCAGGTTTACCAGATGCAAGCTGTCTTGTGAGGTGAGATTAATGTATTCTCTACTTTTCTTCTAGTTCTATATATAAGTGAAGGGTTAACGTCTTTGGAATCCGTAATTATCTTAATACATCATCTTCATCTCCTGAAGCTTTTAAAAGCATGTATCTGATCCAAATTGAGTTGTTTATATGGGTTTCATGATTTTCTTCTATACTCCCTCTGTTCGACAGACATTATGCTTTTATCTTCAAACAATCAAAAGGACTGCACATTCTCCTACAAGTCCAAGTTATATTATACTCATGAAAGCTTTGTAAATCGTATTTTGTCCAACTTTTGAAATAAATTATCCATAGAAAAAACCTGTCTAATAACTTTTTTAATTCTTCCATTTCATGGCAGTATGAAGAACAAAGAAGGAAACATCATGACCTAAAGAGACCAATAAACATTTTTGCTTACAACGGCTTGAAATCTCCATCTTATAAACTCGTAAGTTGCTTAACTTTATGTATTACTCTAAATATATCCCCATTTGGTTATCCTGTTCATCTTTACTGGATTCATTCAGGACAAACCCCAAAAAAGGAAAGATCATGTCTTAAAGAAGCCAAAAAACATTTCTGCTTACTACAGCTTGAAACCTCCATCTTATAAATTGGTAATTCTCTTTGTTATCTTTTCTCTTTCCTCTCTGTTGTCTTTCCTATTTGTTACCCATCGATTTCATGTTCTACTTTTTGCAGGATGCTCTAGAGCCATATATGAGCAAGAGGACTCTTGAGGTGCATTGGGGAAAGCATCACCGTGGTTATGTGGAAATTTTGAACAAGTATCTATCCAAGAAAGATGTATTGTATGGATACACAATGGATGAATTGATCAGAGTGACATATAACAGTGGAAATCCATTGCCAGAATTCAATGTTGCTGCTCAGGTTTGAACAACTCATGAGTCTATTCTTGTTTTGGAAAATGTTTGGAATCATGATTTCTTGTGGGATTTTGTAGGTCTGGAATCATGATTTCTTCTGGGAATCCATGCAACCAGGAGGTGGAAACTTACCAATATTGGGTCTAATGGAGCAGATTGAAAAGGATTTTGGTTCCTTTGCAGATTTCAGACAAGAGTTTATAGAAAGTGCCCTGACATTATTTGGGTCTGGATGGGTTTGGCTTGTGTGTATGTTTCTTGCCATTTTAAATTGGTTTCTTGTTTAGTTGAATAAGTTAGTAATATTCTGTTTTATATCTTTATAGTTGCATCCAGTTTTGATTTGTATTATTGTGGGGTCCCAATTTCAGTAAAGAGGAATGAGCAACGACTTGCAATAGCTACAACAACAAATGCTGTAACCCCTCTTGTGTGGGGTGATATTGTAAGCATGTTTTTACTTTTCAACTTTTTTTTGTGAATGTCTTTTTCTTTTTCTCTTTATACTAATGGATTAATCTCTTGTACTTGCACAGCCTCTACTTAGTTTGGATATGTGGGAGGTAAGAACAACTCTCTCTCTCTCTCTCTCTCTCATACACACACACACACATTTTTCTCACACATACATGACTGTTAATAAAGTTCCACTTGTCCCAATAACTGCAATATTATATTGTACATGTATTTCAATGAAAGCGTTACCAATTAGTCAGATATTTAAAATATCCCACAAAGATGAGAAAATAGAGGAATTTTGTATGGTATGTTGTAGTATTCATTCTAATTTTTGTTTCTCCTTTTCTGCAGCATGCTTATTATCTGGATTACAAGGTACATACATATTCATTTGAAACATGCTTTTGATCCTGCAGCCATTTGTTTCCCTTTTAACTCGGTCATTTGTATCTGAATCTTTCCTTTTATTTTATTTTGTGTGTTAACAGAATGACAGAGCCCGGTATGCTAATGTCTTCATGGACCATCTTGTGTCATGGAATGCAGTATTGGGCCGCATGGCTCGTGCCCAGGCCTTTGTGAATTTAGGAGAACCCAAGATTCCTGTTGCCTAACTGCACATCTCTCTTCTCTCCCTATCTCTTTTAGGTAGCAAGTTTTGCTAGTATTAATGTAACTTCTATTTTTGAAAAATGCTTGGTGAGTATTTTAGTTTTTGAGGCAGTAAGTAGTAAATGCAGACCTGAATTTTAGGCATGAATGATTGCAAATATGGCATTGTATATGATTGAAATTGCAGTAAAAATCCTTGCAAGAACCCAAAATAGCAATGGTAGTATGACGTGAATCAAGTTAAACAAACATGGAATGGTCAATCAGAGACAATGTAGGGAAAGGAACAATTTGAGAAAACAAATATTAATCATCTTGAAGATTAGTATGGTTTGGGGCAAAATACATGTTTCTTTATTTTCTTATTAATCACTTTCTCGTTTCTCCTTCCCAATCACCATCTTCGACAACCACTCCATCTATAGTGCAGTTGACGGCCTCTAACTCAGTGACTTCAGAGGTGGGGGTAGGTGGGTTCATTTATTTAGTAAGAAAATAAATATAAAGGAAGACATGGCAAAAAAAAAAAAGAAGACAAAAATGGTAATTTCATCATTTTACGATTATTTAACATAGCATATGGACGGTGAAGACTGAATGGACAAACGCTGATGGCTTTTGAAACCATAAGAACTATTGACATTAATTTCTCAATAGTAATACTAAAACAATAAAATTGTATAAATAAGAAACTACATTAAATAAATGTTGTAGCTGAACTAATGTCAAATAAGATAAAATTGTTTTTTTGGTTTTTGTGGCTGTATATGCTTTTTGAATAGAGTCCATTTTTTTTAAACTCTCGTTGGCTATAGAAAAAAATTTATAACGATTTTTCGTCCCTTTGGTGGACGTCATTAAAAAGAGATAGTTAGATCATCTCCAACGGACCACTAAAATAGTGGGATGCCAGCCAAAATAACTCCAACCGCCCACCAAATGAAACCACATTCTTGTGGCACCATTTGCCCTTACTTTTATACTTATACCTAAAGTAACTACAAAAACGGTCCGTAAGAATATGGTATACTGATAATTACAAGTTTAGTCTAAGAACGGAGAGTTAAATCTTAAATATTGGCAATTGCATGGATTAATATCTACTTACAACGTTGAAGAAATATTGTAGTCTCACGAGACCAAAAATGTAATTTTTTAGTCTTTGTATTTATTTATTTTAATTTTAATTTCCCTTTTGCCAAGAGCGGGCCAGAGTTTAAACGCTGATAACGTGCCCTAGGCATTGCCTGGCGCCATTCCGTCCATCTCTACTCCCGCGCAAAGCAAACACACCATCGCCATAGAAGCCAAAGAGATCCGTTCTTGAGAGTGTGAAAATGGCCGAAGTGATTTCGCCGATGGACATAGATGAAGCCAATCCGTCTCAAGGACCCAACGGGAACAAGGGCAAAGCTGTAGTCGCTTCCGGCGGCGCCCCACCAGCTCACAGCAAAGCCACTCCATGGGTCGAGAAGTTCCGGCCTCAATCTCTCGCCGACGTCGCCGCTCATCGTGACATAATCGATACCAGTATGCGACTTGTTTATTCTTTTCATTTAATGGCTTCAATCTTGTCTTAAACTGTTTAAGTAATGAAAATTTTCCACTGGGGTTTTTTGTCAAACAGTTGATAGGCTTACGAGTGAGAACAAAATGCCTCATTTGTTACTGTATGGACCACCGGGCACCGGCAAGACATCGACGATTCTTGCCGTAGCTAGAAAACTATTCGGGACGCAGATGCACAATATGGTTTTGGAGCTCAACGCTTCGGATGAACGTGGAATTGATGTGGTGAGGCAGCAGATACAGGATTTTGCCAGCACTCAGAGCTTCTCCTTTGGGTAATTCTTGCTCTGTGTTCACGTATTCACCAAATTTGCTCTTTCTTTTGGTTGTCAATTGTTTGTTGATTTTGGGGTGTTGCTTGATCTCATGTTCTTTTGTTTTTGCTTCTCCTTCGTGTGTTGTTTATCAGTGCAAAAGCCTCGGTGAAGCTGGTTCTTCTGGATGAGGCGGATGCAATGACAAAAGATGCTCAATTTGCTCTTCGAAGAGGTAATCTACACTGTTAAAAGCAACTCAATTGTACTTTCCTTTCTTATTGCTTACCATTCTACACATCTCTAATGCAGTGATTGAAAGATACACAAAAAACACCAGGTTTGCACTTATCTGTAATAATGTCAACAAAATCATTCCAGCACTACAATCAAGATGCACAAGATTTCGATTTGCTCCTCTGGAGTCTGTCCATGTCACAGAGCGACTTAAACATGTTATTACCTCTGAAGGGTAAGTTTTTGGACTTCGTAATGATGTCACACACTTCACAAGAAACCCTTTATAATACAAGATAATAATAAATTGTTAAATTAGGCTTGATGTGACTGGAGATGGGTTAGCAGCTCTTGTACGTCTTAGCAATGGTGATATGAGGAAGGCTTTGAACATTTTGCAGGTTTCTTATTTTTGCTTACTTGCCATATGATTCAGCTTACAGAGTTACAGTTTCTATAATGATTATTGTAATGTAATGTGTTTATGTGTTTGATTCATGCAGTCGACACATATGGCTTCACAGCAGATAACTGAAGAAGCTGTATACCTCTGCACAGGCAATCCGTTGCCCAAAGACATTGAACAGATATCTTACTGGCTTCTAAATGAATCATTTTCATTTAGCTTACAAAGTATCCATCATATTTTATTTTCATTTTAAGGCTTCAGTTTTCTTTTCTTCTTTCTGTTCTTGTTGGTGCTTAACTTTTTTACAGAAATATCTGATATCAAGGCAACAAAAGGATTGGCTTTAGTGGACATTGTAAGAGAAGTAACCATGTAAGTCTTGTAATATCTGGTTAAGAAGCTACCAGTAGTTTTGTGGGCTTATCTTGAAATCACATTTGTGTTGACAGGTTTGTTTTTAAAATCAAGATGCCTTCAGATGTTAGAGTCCAGCTCATCAATGACTTGGCTGATATCGAGTATGTATATTTTACATCTGTTTCATTTTACTCCCAATAATCATTAGTTATGCATATGTAATCAATGGCACAGCTGTGCACTTTTGATCTAAAGTCAACAAAGTCTTATCTTAAACTAAATGGGTAATGGCAAAATTCGTAACCACTGGGATATGTTGATGAAAGTGTATTGGTCTTCTGTTCTCTCATATTAAAAGCTAGTTAAAATCCAGTAAGTTGTTGTTTCTTTTTGATTTAATGGACTTAATAGTGTTTCTTTGTGACTTAATGTAGAAAATATGACTTAATAATGAAAATCAAGGTATTTTTCCATTTGATTTCCCTGAGTGTTCTGTCGGTTTTTCAAAAAAAAATTATTTAAGCATTTCATTTTTTGTAAATTTATATTTATTCACATATATTGGTACATACATATTTCATATTTCACATATTTTATTATATTATTTATGTGTTAAGAATGTATGCCATTATTTGTATCAGATATTTTTTCTGTATTTTATATGGTTATAATTTATTTATGATACCAATTGCATTTTGATCATTTATTACATAGTGAATCCATGTGTGACTTTATGATTTGCTAAATTGCCAAATATTCATTTAGAGTTTACATTCAGAAAACAGAAGAGTTATTACTTATTTTTCAAGTTTCATATAAATTTAATAATTTGTCATTTAGAATTTACATTAAGAACCATTATTTCAGAATCTACATGCAGAACAGTTATCAAATGTATAGTCATTTCTCATTCAGCACTAGTTCGATTTAGAAGGGTAAAATAGTCATTTACTTTACTCAGCCCAGGAAGGAAACAACATTTGTTCATACAAGACTTCCTTCAGACATACTCATTTATCCCAACACTTAATAAAGAAAAAGAGAAACCTGGTCCGAAAAGTGGTCTTGTGCTTCCACTTTCTTGAAATTGTAAAAAAAAAATCAGTCTTTTTGTCCAAAAACTAGTTGGCAGTATGTGAAAGATGAATTCCAATACAAATTATTATTAGGTTCTTGAATTCATTTTTTGTGGTTGTTATGTGATTTTACAGATACAGGTTAACTTTCGGGTGCAATGACAAATTGCAACTGGGATCAGTAATTTCTACTTTCACCCGTGCTAGATCTGCACTTGTTGCTGCAGCAAAGTAGAGAAAATCTTAAAACAAATGTATCAAATAGTATGATGTTCACCATGTATGATCTTTGTTGACTATGTCTTTTTCATTAAGCCTGTAGGGATTCAGACCTTTTTCACCATCTTCTTTTTGTTTAGAATTTTTGTTTACATTGGTTGTTAATTAGTATCCGGTGTTTTTTTTGTTGCAAATTTGTCATCGGTGATTCAGATCTTTTCTATTGGTTGTTAAAAAGAGTCTGTAGGGATTCATACCTTCAGGCTATCTTTTTGTTCCTGTTTTTTTCTAATTGATAATGATAGAATAATTTTATTAGACTGTAGGATGTCATGCGGTTTTTGCCACCGCCCCTTGATCCATTTTATTGCCGAGCGGCTGAACACTTGCAGATGAAAAGTGAACGGCAATAGATAATACAAACAACATTTGGTGCACTTTCTATCATTGTTCTTTTAATTTCTTCATTTAACATCCATCTTTTTATTTTCAATGTACACTTGCTCACCTTGTTTTTTTTTTAATTTCTTCAAAATAGATATTAGATGAATATTATTTATATAATTTTAATTTCATGTTATTATTATTTTTACTTTTTAATGTAATTTTCAATTTTATGGTAATTGAAATTTAAGTTTTATTTTAATTAGTATTCATGTTTTTTTTATTTATTAAAAGTTAATATTTTTTAATTTGAAAAAAAAAGGTTGTAGGTTAGAATAACACCACACCTTATTCATAAGCAAAGATTGACCACAATAACAAATGTTTATGAGAGGCCTATAACACCAAATTTTGATAGGCCAAAACACACATCTTTTAGCCTAATACACACTAAAAGTGATTCATACTCTTAGACCATCTCTACTTTTTCCCTATAAATTGAGTAAAAAATGAGATAAATAATGTTTCATCTCCAACTCTTCTCCATTTTCTACCCTATTTTTTACCCCAAAAAGTATATTCCTAGAATATTTCATTTTTATAACTTATACATATTGTCAAATACACCCCTCTACTAATTAGATTTAAAAAATATATACTATATTTTTTCATTACAAAAATAATTCAAATTATATTATT